CTGAAAACCATGCAGGCCTGGCCAAACGGGGACCTCTCTGACACGGCAGTCATGATGTCAGTAATGTTGAATAGCCCCTATGATATGCCGTTTATTGATGGGAATATTACTTCGCCTCCAACAAAGGGAGTTCTCCTGCAGGCACGGCTGCCTCTCTGTGAATGGGACTTCTGGCTCTGTGCCTGCCAAAGGGGATTAAAGCAGGCAGCCGGTCCTAGCAGTTACAGGGTCGACCCCCCTGACAGATGCTTTAAATCTTCAAAATATGAGGGCCGTTTTATTTCCCAACTTGTAAGGTATTCAAACGACACCTGCTCCTGAGATAGGATTGCTGGAACACTGTCAGCTTGATGAGAGAAAGCTGTTTCAGTGCCCGCCTGTTATACTTTATAAACATCAAGTCAGTTTCAATAGAGAAAGGGTAACATTATAGCCTCCACCAGACCATCCTAAGGGGTTATGTATTTGGCAAAAAGAATTCGGCAATAATTGGGCCAATGGTTGGTTAGGAAAGCGAGCTCAAACACATGCACACACTTACACATTGTTGTACATACAAATTTGCACACATACACAGACACACATGATGTTACTCACATACACACACACACATACATACACACATGCATACAGTGATACACAGTCACACTTTTTTCTGTAGTAGACACATACATTACAATTAGTAGTTGATTGAGTGTGATATCTTGCTTGGCACATCCATCATCGGTCCCACCACTTAAGCAGGGGACATCTATCAGCAGGATGTCACCCATACGTCTCTGTCCAGGTTGTATCACTCCAGAAATAATGAAACAGATTGAGTGCAGGAAATACTGTCTGGGAGAGTTCTAAATTTGTAAGTTTTCCGGTCTGGATGCCGGTGAACTCTCCATTGACCTTCTGTACCTGACCCTGATGCTGTGGAAAAATCCCTGCAGCTCTGGAAAGATCCCTCAGAGTTTTTCCAAAGAATTTTTTGGGCACCAAATAGAACAGGGGATCAATCACTCCTGTGTTGGTGAAGACAACACCAGTGATAGCTATGATGTCAATACAGTCAGAACTACAACCAAGATGTCCACTCGGGATGGATAAAAACTGGTCTTGTGAACAGGTGGTCACTACAAGATTCTTCATGTTTGTGTCAATGGGAAAAGTTATCTAAGGCAAGGGACTACCAAAACAAGTTGTTGGCCAGGTGATCCTTATGTAGAGGTGTTCTCTTGCACAGGATTGACAGTATTTAATCATTGTGTGTGCATGACTATACTGACCTTAAGAGATATCCACTTAAAGTTGAACTTTCACCATAGACACATTCAGTGTACAAGCTGCAAATCTTGATGTTTAAAATATTACTTTTGGTGGACTTTCTGGTAGTGTCAACCAAAATGTACCTATGCTGCACTATGTGTGGTATAGAGAAATAGACACCATTTTGAAAAGTTATGTGTAGTTTAGACTACTTTGGTTGGCAAGAACCCAATAGTACAAGCTAATAAATATGAGAAAGGCTAATCTTCTTCCATCACTGCTGTCTGCCTCGATTGTTTTTGCCTGAAGACTATTGTGACAAATCTTTCTCTACTCGTTGGATGTTATTCGCAGACCTTTCGACAATCAGTTTTATGCTTTACTCCTTTTGCCGTGTCTAATGGCCGTTTCTGTGATTCAGAGAGAGGAGGCGAATCAGCAAGGTCCATCTCAGGTCCATTTCATTTGGGTTTTATGAGCCATTATGATAGACTTCCCCAGCAGAGGTAATCTCCTGCAATTTCTCTTGTCAGCTGCAATGTATTCTGTACGCGTGAAGATTAGCACCGGTGCAGATGGATGGGAATATAATGTCCCCTTCAAATCACGCAACATGGCTTGTCATGTTGTCAGACTAACTGTAACAGCATTTGTAGGGATAAATCATTGTAACCATATTTCTCACACGTCACCAACAAACACTTGTCACAAGTTTGAACCTCCAAGTACTGAGATGTGTGTGAGAGATACTGTTATCATGATTCCTCCTTGCCATCAGCTTGTAACGATGCAGACTTATTGGCTTGATAATCATCAGGCAATGAAGAACTTTTAAGTTGTCAAAAATACACAAGCTTTCATTTTGGCAACATTGGCTTGTAGGTGAAGACGTGGGCTGATGAGCCCCTTGGGCTTCCAAGTCAAAGCGGATCCCATGGAATATAGATGAATTTATTGCATCTTTGACACCAGGTTTCATTCGTATCAAGTAGGATCTCACACAGGTACATCACAATTACCATCTGACTGTAGCTTGTGTTGTATAACCGATACAAATCTGGGTTTATAGACCTTGAAAGGCTCATAACAGATAGAGAGAGTTGAGCATCAATTTTTGGACACAGGTGAATTCCGCCCAAGATTGCCTGGCTCAAGCAATACATATTACCTTGACATTGATTAGAACCTGTGTTGACATTGTCCTTCCAAATTCTCGAGGTCGTATCGTAAATGTTCCGGTAACGATCGCCTCCAGCCACTGGCTCAATACCCGTTGCCACGATAATTGAATCCGAGCTGACAGTTTGGCCAGTGGACAGTTTGGTGAATGCTGGGATTGGTGCGCTTGCCCTGCTGGTTATTGATTCCTGTGGCCTGCCTTAGTGCCTGGCCAGTGCAGGACAGCGGGGTATTGACCCACTTCTTCTGCATAGCCTTGGAAAGATTTAATTATATATATTTCTAGTATAGCTTTCTTTTTAAAGATGTGAAAATAACATCTCTATAAGGTTAAGGACACACAAGTATAACAGATACTTTTCTACTGTTACAGAAGAATTTCATTTACTATCAGTATCTCCATCATCCAGTAAGTCCTCAAGAAGTCTTAAAGGTTACATTTTTCTCCCCCATTCATGTAGGACGAAGCATCCTGAATGAGATCTTGTCCAGTCATGATGGTCTTGAAGCCAGCACAATCCGACCAAGGTCACCTTCACCTCCAAGATCGTACCATCTACCTGTGGAGCCAGCAGCAGGGAGGCTGGGGAGTCAGCACACGTCAGTAAACAGGTGAGAATAGAATAAACTCATGCCTGTCTATAAGTAAACTCACACCTGTCTATAGGTCACCTGAGTGGCTAGAAGAGAAAATGGTCTGAGTTGACTGATGGTAGATAGGATTCTTAATGTTTGGGAGAAAAAAATCTATGGGACCACAATGGTCACATGGTCCTTGTACAAAGGTGACTTCAGGTGGTGCCAGGTTTGACTGTACTGTGAGAAATAAGTGAAATGCCTTTCCCAATGGCACAGCACTGGGGCCTGCCAAGCATTCAAAC